TAAAGAGACACTTGGTGAGGTGGTTCTTCTCACAATGTGCCAGTAAGTGCTTTCTCCCCTTGGGATACAAAAATATGAACATTGATGGCCTGTCAGTCCCTCCAAACTGTTCCTAAACATGAAACTATTTCAAATATGCAGTTTTATAAACATTGCTTCAATAATGCCATGCAGGATGGCATTATGTACAACAAATCTTTTTGGCTCATTAAGGAACTATAGGTTCAATATGTTGAAAGTCAAATAAAAATCAAATAAATCCAGAAAATATATATTATCATGGATATGTTTCAGACCTTTATATTTACCTAGTTCAGCATTTTTAAAGTCCAGTGGAGCCGGGACAACATAGGTTTGAACTCTGCAGGTCCGCTTGTACTCCTGCACGTGCTGGTTGGTTTGTTGGTTGAATTCACACATGCGGAGTCCCTGGATGTGGAGGGGCAGCTACATGGGGCCTGTGCACCCATGGGTTTCGGTGTCTGCAGTGGGAGCCCTGAAACCACTACCCTCCCCACTACCACCAAGGGATTGTTGTAGTTACGTTTGGGGGGAGCCAAATTTTCAAATTTTCAACTCTGTGTGGGTGCCCCTGCCCCTCCCGTTGTTCAAGGTTCAATGTCCTTTAAATTTTTAATGAGGAGTTTGCTTTTATTTTTTTTTAAAGATTTATTTATTTTTATACAAGAACCGGGGTACAGGCCAGATGCGCGGGAGGGTGAGAGGATTCACTGGAGACAGAGTGGGGAGCAGAAGTGGCAGACTGACGAAATACACTGCTGAGGGGAGCAGCAGGCGAGACAGGAGAGGTCTGCTGCGCCAATATGGGATTTTTGCCGGCCAGCCAGGATCGAACCCGCACTGCAGAGGCTGAGGACAGCTTCACAGCACTGTGCTCAACCCACTGCACCACTGGGGAGGCCCAGGAGTTTGCTTTTAAAGGGACCAATCTAGAAGGAATTATGCTCAGTGAAATAAGCCAGAAGGAAAAAGAAAAATATCGGATGATTTCACTTAAAGGAGGAATATAGGGGAACCAAATAAGACATCAGTGCAAAAAAATAGTAACAGTACAAAACACCACAAAACAAAAACAGACAATCATAAATCCGAGGCATACTGCAGGGGAGGAGGAGGCAGAGGGATCAGAGGGAGGGAGGGAGGCGCACAGGGGACTGAGGTGATGGTGCACCGGGGCCTTGGGGAAGGAAACTCTATGGGGACCACACCTGGCAGAGGGGAAGCAAATATTGTTTAAAAATGTATGATGATGTAAAAAAATAAATAATTTTAAAAAATTTTAAAAAATAAAAGGAACACTCTGTAATTTACTCTATGAAACTGCAGGTCCTTGAGTGGGTGATTTCCATAAAGTGAGTGTTCAGTGGTTCTCAGAGCTTGGCCAGAGTGAAGTTATAAAATAGATCACATTTATTTATTTATTTATTAAAAAATTTTTTTTATAGAGGCATGTTTTATTTATTTGTTTGTTTGTTTGTTTATATAAGCACTGGGTACAGTCAGAAGCACGGGAGGGTGAGAGAATTCACCAGAGCCAGAGCGGGGAGCAGAGCAGGCAGAAGGACCGAAGTACACTGCTGAGGGGAGCAGCGGGGGCAGGAGAGGTCTGTGCGCCACGTGGGACCCTCCTCCCGCGGCCGGGGAGCAGCCGGGGATCGAACTGGAGGCTCAGAGGCCACGGGCAGCCTCGCAACCCAGCGCTCAACCGCTGCGCCACCGGGGAAGCCCAAAATAGATCATATTTATATTTAGTACTAAGTATATTGGAAACAGCAATACATCGGGGAAATGAAAGAAAATGAACTGTAAACAATAGACTGATAAGAAAATATTTGAAAGTGATATCGATCCACTGTTCTACAGCTAGCTGAGTTATAGTAGAACAAATAAAGGGGAGGGGACTTGCTTTAGGATGAATTGATAAAACAAATCATGCTAAAGAAGGACTCCTGTGTGAGGGAGATTAAATAGGAATCGACAGAGCGACTGAACTCAGTCTAAGAGAGAACCGGGTTTGACGTTAAAGATCAGGCTTTTCAAGTTATGACAGATTTCGTGGTCTGTGTCCTACCAGCTCACCTGCCCTCAGAGGACTAGAGCAGCTGGTTGCAGCTTTTGGCAACAGTTCACTCAATTGTTTAGGAAAATATTGACGCCAACACACACTTAGAAAAACAATCTTTAGTAACTAAAATGTCATATGAGTGGTTTCAGTGACAAGTTTTAAAATAGGCCAGAAGTCCCCAAGTTTTTACCATATTACAAAATTTCCTATGAGAAATACGCACATTTTCAAGACAAGCAAGTGAATGGAGGAAAGCAGAGCAATAAGCCCAGGACCCCACCAGAAAGCTCCAAAATAAAAGCGCAAGTGCCAGAACAGTCACAGTTCATCGCCTCCGAGAACTCCTTCGGTGGCATTTCTATCTTGTCTCAGATTTCCTGTTTGTTTTGCTTATTTCTCAGCGCTCTAGGTTTATAAATATATTTCGGGGTAAAACTTATCACTATACTTCAATGAGCTGGAAATTCTGGTTTAAACGGGATGTGCCCAGGACTTCCTGTTTCAAGACTGTAAATATGTTTGTGGTTCCCTGTGTGCAGTTCAGGCGGAATGTGTCCCAACCTCAGTTCTGTCTTCCTCTCCCTCCTCTGCTTGATCTCTTGCTGCTTTTCAGACCTCACCCCGCTTCCTGCCCGGAATTCCAGGTGGTTTCACCTCCAAATCCTCCCTCTCCTCACCATCACAACTTCCATTTTGCTGGCCTGTGACACTCTCAGCTGGCCTGTGACAGCCCCTCCTGCAGGCCACCTGCTCCCTACCCCATGCATCTTTCTTCTGATGTTCCAAAGTCAGACTAGCATCAGACTGGCACCGAATTAGGGACACCCCTCTCTTATGAAGAAGCAGGATGAGGAGGTGACCTAGCTCACACAGCTGGTAGCTTCCTATCTCTGGGGTCATGATAAAGAAAAATAGAAGTCTGGGTCTCCCTGGTGGTGCAAGGGGTTAGGTCTCAGCACTATCAGGCTGTCTGGAACCACTGCAGCATGGGTTCGATCCCCACCCAGGGAGCTACCCATATGACGCAGCAGACCTCCCCTGACTCGCCCGCTGCTCCCCTCAGCCGTGTAGCTCTGTCAGTCCTCCGGTTCTGCTCCCCACTCTGTCTCTGGTGGATCCTCTCACACACCCCCACACTTCTGGCCTGCACCCCAGCACTTGTGTGCATAAATAAATAAATCTTTAAAAAAATAGAAGTCTGCACTGAGGTATCATGTAGTATAATGTATCACCCACACACGGAGTTTTTTTTTGGAAGACCAAACTGGAATGTGTTTTGTATATTTTTTGTTCTTTCTCTTGCTTCTACCCTTTTCAGCCCAGCTCCCTCCACTGCATGTTCCACCACGGTGTCCACATGTTGTCCCTTCCTGGTTCCAGCCCAGACCTATCTCTGGACCTCAGAGTCCTCCCTTTTAATTCTCAAGGGACAACTGGTTAGATGCTTGGTTGGGTACTTGTCAGCCAATATCAAAAATGCAAACAGAAATGATCTTTATGCTAAGATGTTTAGCTCATTTAAAAAAAATTTATTTTTAAAAAGAATTATTTATGCATACAGGAGCTGGGGTACAGGCCAGAGATGTGGGGGGTGAGAGAATCCACCAGAGACAGAGTGGGGAACAGAACAGGCAGACTGACTGAAGTACACTGCTGAGGGGAGCAGCGGGTGAGACAGGAGAGGTCTGCCTCTCCATGCGGGTTTCTTCCTGGCAGGCGGGGGACTGAACTGCTACAGAGGCTGCGGATTGCTTCATAGTGCGGTGCTTAACCCCTTGCGCCACCAGGGAGGCGCTGTTTAGCTCATTTTAAAAGTAAGTGCTATCATTTCTAATAACAATTTCATTTTTGACGTTCAACAAACTAATCATGATATTAAAAAAAGTTATTTGGTTTATGTCTTGGTCTCAGAGAAAGTTCGAAGGCATCTGAGCCAGGGTCAGACCAAGCACTTTTCTGACCTCACCCACCATGAACACATAAAGAAAAATCTGTTTAACAAATGATTCAAACTATTTTTATTGTATTTTCCAGCTTTACTGAGGTGTAGTAGATGACTAAAATTGTAAGATAGTATATATACGCCATTGTGAGAGGTTCCTCTTACCTAGTTAGCACATCCATCACCATCACAGATTTCCAAAGACTGTCTGAAATCATGTCCTGCTGTCATGAAGAGTTACAAGGCTAACCATAGGGATGACAATTAGACTTTATGAGTTCTGAAACAACTGGGTGGAGACTCTCAGGTTGTGCTCTTTCAGATGCCTTGAGCATCTTCCACATGCCTTGAGGGTGTGATAGACGGATTTAATTAAATTTAAATCAAATTATTTCTACTGAAACAACTTTCATTTACAACACTGTGGATGATTTAGAGGTGCAGCTTCACACATCTCCACACTTACGTTCTCACACCACACCCACCATCATAGTCCTCCAGCCTCTCCCCTCCCTCCAGCCTCCTGCTCCCCCCTCCCCTCTGGTAGCCTCAGTGCTGCAGTCAGATTTCTAAGGCTGGTTTAATCTGTTCCTTTACTTTGTTTCTCTCTGTTCCACATATGAGAGGAGTCATGGGTGTCTGTCTTTCTCCTCGCTTATTTCCCCTTAGCATCCGCACGCCTTGAGTTTGTTTCCTTGAGCAGTGTTCTTCCCCTGAAAGTTTAACAAGGGGCAGTGATTCTACTGTAAGGAAAAACTGCAACTTGAAAACAGGTCTACAGTCCAAGTATTAATAATATAGTATTAATAATATATTAATGGTAATACTGTACTATTAATAATAATAGTATTATTATTAATAATATATTAATGGTAATACTGTACTATTAATTTCTGAAGGCCTTCGTTTCCATTAAGGAGTATTTTTTTCCCCCTAGGTCGCCTCAGGTGAGAGCTTGTTGAGGTGATTCAGGATGGCATATGGGGCAAGGTTACTGTGGAGTCAAAAACAGTTGCCAAGGCCAAGAAATTCTCAGAGACAGTCTGGATGCAGGTAGGATCATTGGCTGGAACCCAAGAGAAGCTGCCTCATCTCTCATGGTGGTTTCATTCTAGGAGGGCACACAGGTCTGTCAAGGGCCTTAAAACCAGGTTGTGCGGATTGTGTTTTCAGGTTCTGCTACCCGCTGTGGGGCCTCAGTCACGCCCCTGCTCCGTGCTTGTCAGTCTTGGGGGCTGGGATCTGCCCCCAGCTGTCTGCTCTTGGGCAATTAATTTCATGTCCCTGTGATGGTTTCCTCATGTTTTAAAATTTTTTTAAAGATGGATTTATTCATGCATACAGGAACTGGGCTACACCAGAGGTGCAGGGCGAGAGGCTTCCCCAGAGACAGAGCGGCGCGCAGAGCAGGCAGCCTGACCGCGGCCACTGCTGAGGGAGCAGCGGGGGGCCAGGAGGGGTCTGGCCCGGCGGCTCCTGGCTGGGGCTGGACCTGCCGCAGAGGCTGCGATGGCCTCAGGTGCTGCGCTGAGCCCTCGCGCCACCGGGGCGGCCCGGTTCCTCCTCTCCACGTGGATTATTTTCCATCATTTTGTTTCACTGAAAGGAGGCGGCACAGGGAACGCGGCTCCCGCGAGCGCGCAGGTGCTTCACAGCCAGCAGCCGGGGCTCCCGCAGGTGGAGCGGGTTGGGGGGTCGAGAAGCCCGGGACGGTGCGGGCCGGGACCGCGCCGGGGCCCCGCGGAGTCACCGCCGAGACGCCTCAGACGGCCGCGGGCCTCCCGCCGCGCGAGGTCCCCGGGGTGCGCCCGCCGGCCGGGGAAATGCCGAGCGCTCCGGGTCGCCGGGCGGGACCCGAGGACCAGGCCCGTGGGGCGGCCGGCCCGGCCCGGCCCGAACCAGCCCGGCCCCGGCCCGCCCCGGCGGGCGCCCGCTCGCTGAGCCCTGGCGGGGCGGCGCCCCGCGAGGATCGGGGTCCGCCCGGTGCCCCGAGGCGGGCCAGAGGCGGACGGCGGCCCCGCTCCTCCCGCCCAACCCCCCCTCCCCGCCGGCCCCCCTCCTGCCCCGCCGGCCCCCCTCCTGCCCCCCCGCCCCGGGGCGCAGGCGGAGCCGCCGCCTCCCGCGGGGTTGACGGTTGCCCGGGAGACGCGTCGGCTGCTCCAGCCCGCGCCCGGCCTGGCCGCGGGTCCCGGCCCCCCGCACCCGGCCCCCCGGCCCCGGCCCCCGCCAGCATGAGCCGCGGCGGCCCCTCCGGGCCCAGGCGCCGGGACCCCGCCCGCGACGCCGCCGTCGGCGCCTGGTCGCCCGCGCCCGAGGTACGGTCCCGGGGTGCCCCGGCCCCCCGCGCCCCGGCGCCCCGCGGAGGCGCAGGCCCCCCCCCCCCCGCAGCCGCCGCGGACCTGCCCCGGGGCCGGCGCCCGGGCCCCCCAGCGAGCGCGCGTCGGGGCTCGAACTCGGGCCGCGGCTCCGGGCCGGGCGGGGCGGGGGGAACCGCCTCTGGCCTGCAGACCCCGCGGGCCTCCCCCGGGCAGCCGGTCGCCAGACGCGGGGTCCAGCTGCTGTCGGGGGGGCCACTGGCTCACCCCCGGGAGTCACTAGGCCCTGGGGACTGCAGGCAGGAGTTGCTCCAGATTCTCCCTCTCTCTCCCTCTCTCTCTCTCTCTCTCTCTCTCTCTCTCTCTCTCTCTCTCACACACACACACACACACACACACACACACACACACACACACACACGCCAGGTTCTGCGGGCTCAGCCTGTGTTGAGTATCCCCTGAACCCCATAAACAGGGTCCGGCTGGTTGCTGGGGAGGGGAGAGTTGTGTTTGGCTGAAAAGCTAACCCAGCAGTGTCTTTGACCATATAGTATGTGCTATAGACCCCTGCACCCCTATATCCCTCTCCATCCTGCAGATCTACCATCTGTTCACGTGTCTCCATCCATCCATCGCTGGGGGATACTCTTAGATCCAAACCAGGGACTGGATTTTCCAGCAGGCTAGACGGATTCATCTAGAATTTAGCGACTTTGTTGCCTTAAATCTAACCTATGTTTAGATTTCACTAACTCCTGGCTTACTTGTGGAAAATTAGGGCCAGGTGTCTTGTACAAGTAAAACTAATCTGAACTCCATTTGACATTCCATATCTTATCCCAATATAGTGGGATTAATGATGAATGTTAGTCTGTACAGAACAATGTAGTATTTCCACATTATTTGTGTTTTTGGAGAACCAAAGTGAAAGTAAATTTCAGGCATCGTAGCCCTCCGGCCCTAAATATTCTGGACCTTGTCCACCTCCTGTGCTCCTGCGGCATCTTTAGCTCTTCCTGGACTCTGCAGCTCCTGGACTCTGGTCACCACCTGCACTGCCATGGCACATCCAGCATTGTCACAGGCAAACACTGCTCCCCCTCAATTCCTCCTGAGATCTTTGGAGGGCTCCACACCTGTCTACATTGAGTCATCCTGCTGACTACGCCAATTGTAGTCTCAGGAATGCAACTGAGCAGGTTTTATGATCCGAGCAGACTGGGTAAAGGAGAGTGCTGGAGCCCTTGGTGGCTTTCTCAGGCTTTTATTGAGCTTTTCCATGTAGTGTGGCAACCAAGTTGTAGGGTAAAGAAAATGTCAGGCTTTTCTGCGCTTCCGCCATTAGGATAGATGATGGATCCTTGTGGTCCTGAATGCATGCCTGATGGCGGGCACCTGGAATAGGGTGTGGGCATAGGAAGATGGGACTCACCTGGGCTAAGACTGGGCTTTTAAGGGCGGCGTCACGGGGACGCCAGCAGAAGCCTAAGCAGAAGCCAAAGAGAAGCAGAGAGAAACAAGAGAAGCAGAAGCAGCAGAAGCTGAGAGAGAGAGAAGGCCGGAGAGCCCAGATAGAGTGAAGACTTGCTGGGGGCTGGGAGGCCTGCTAGCCTCCCTGCCCCCCAGCACCCATGCCTGCTGTGTACTGGGTAAATCCCAATAAAAGCCTGCAAAAGCCACTAAGGACTCTGATTCCTCCTTTACCCGGTCTGCTGGATCAGAAAACCTGCACTGTGTCCAGTCCTGCCCTTACACAGGTACACGGCAGGCAGAGGGGCCCTGGGGCCAGGAGGTTGGTAGGCCTTCAAGCCCCTGGCAAATCTTCACTCTGGGCTTCTCTGGTGTTCTCTCTCTTTCTCTCTCTTCTGCCTCTTGTTTCTTTTGGTGAATATCTCAATACTGCAGTCATGGCCCACAGAAGCAAGCAACACAACAAAATGCAGCTGCCCCATCAGGCAGGGCAATCCTAATGGCAGAGGGCAGAAAAGCCTGAAAATCATTTACCCTACAGAGGTCTATAAACCACTTATGAAAGACACATATAAACAAAAGGATATGGGATGTAGAAAACAAAGATATATAAAAAGATTTACCTGTGGCAAATAATAACTGAAAAAAATTGATTAAATAGAGTAGTAGTATACAAAATACAGAAAAGCATTATTAGGGATATAGTCCTTGTAATGATACACGTTATTATGTCATTCACATAATATAATAATTTTCATTCATTAGGAAGTTCTAAAAATTCTAAATGTGTATGCACCTAATAACATGGCTTCAAGCTATAGAAAACAATAATTTACAGACATAAAAATCTCTAAGGCAATTTGGACAAATTTTTAACTAGACCAGAATATTTTTAACATACCACTGTTAGTATTTGACAGATGAGTCAGGCAAAAATTGGTAAAGGAGCCATTAAGATAGCTAATAATACAAGTATGGTTAAATCATTGCAAAGAAGAGAAATGCATAAAATATTTGGGATAAATATTGTAAAAGTTAACAGAATGACTCTCCCCCTTTGCTCAAGTAATAAATACATTTAGACGTTGAATCAATCAACTAGACAAAAATCTTAGACAATGTATAATTGGGTAGGGGTTGAAGTAGGTAAGTAATTATGTTTTTCCCTTATTTTATACTATCAAAAATAAATGATCATCAATTACGAGAAAACATACAAAACCATCTTGAAGGATTTTCTGCATAATTACTGATCCGTACTCTTCAAAAGCATTCAGGTTAGGACTGCAGGAGACTAAGCAGCTAAATGCAGCACAGGAATATGGATTGACTCCTGGACCAGAAAAAGTATGTTTTGGAAAACGTTATAAAATTTGAATAAAGTATGATTTAGTTACCAGTTTCACAACAATGTTAAATTTCCTGATTTTAATAAATATACCTTAGTTATGTAAGTTACTAACTTTAGGGGAAGCTGGATAAAGATTATTTTTCTTTTATTTTTTATTTTTTTAATTTTCTAGAGGCATGTCTTATTTATTTATTTATTATTTGTTTGTTTGTTTGGTTTATACAAGCACTGGGTACAGTCAGAAGCGCGGGAGGGTGAGAGAATTCACCAGAGCCAGAGCGGGGAGCAGAGCAGGCAGAAGGACCGAAGGACACTGCTGAGGGGAGCAGCGGGCGGCAGGAGAGGTCTGCGCGCCATGTGGGACCCTCCTCCGGTGGCCGGGGAGCAGCCGGGGATTGAACCGGCTGCAGAGGTTGCAGTCAGCTTCGCAACCCAGCGCTCAACCGCTGCGCCACCGGGGAGGCCCTGGATAAAGATTATATAAAGACTTACGACTTTGCAAATTTTCTAAGCTTAAAATTATTTAAGAATAAAAGAAAAAAGATTATTGTATAATTCATTTGCACATCCAGCTTTGTTTTTACTACAACTTAGCTTCTTCTGATGTTATTCTTTAACCTTCTACTTTGAGGGAAAACATTCACAGGGCAGGTAGGAGAGAAGAACTTTCTGAACATCAAAGAGAGAGTGAGTTTTTCTTTGCACATTTTTAAGATTGTGTGTGTATCTACTTAATGTTAGCAAATAGAGTGCGTAGTGTATTTCAAACAGTAATGAACACTTTTGGTTGTATTCGAGCTGACTTGGCTAATTAGAAGGACTTACTTTTTTTCTCATGTTCAAGGACAACTTAAAAAAATGTTAATTGAAGAGGGGAGTAACATTTGCTGCATTTGGAATTATTTATGTTATGTTCT